TATGGAACTATGTAAATGTCATAATTTGTGTTAGATGTAATCAATTGGTGTTTGAATATTCTACAGTCTAGTTTGAAAGTCTATGATGTAAAGTTTCTCATATGTTAATTAGAAACCACTTTGTAATTCTGTCCCGGCGAATGTGTTCATCAATAACACTCAAAATTAAGCTTCAAAATGTTATAATATCTTTGTAATAATTCTGTATTACCAGCAGAGTGCGCTGTTGTAATTTCCAGCTTAATCCACTAGGGATAGCTGTTGCAAAACTGACCTCTTTTAACAAGAAGAAGCTTATTTCCTTAAAAATGGGAAGAAAATGTGAATATGGTTAAACAACACAGCACATAACCGCCAAAACACACTTGCAAACAAGAATATCTCAAATAAACCGCCAATACACACTTGCAAACAAGAATATCTCAAATAAACCGCCAATACACACTTGCAAACAAGAATATCTCAAATAAACCGCCAATACGCACTTGCAAACAACAATATTTTCAAAACCAGACTCCTACAAATACCAAACTTCCCACGGTAAGATAACCTGTCTATTTTATAGTTCCAACTTCTGCCAATAAATATGATTTGTCCTTCTCAATATGGAGTGCCTAGCCTCATGTGAGTGGGACTGTGTGTCAAAACAAACAGAGTACTTTCAATTAGCATTTCACGAAATGGCGGCTGCCGTGTGGCTTATTTTCAGCATGAGGACAAGACAAGATGGCAACTGATTTTCCAACCTTTGACCTGAAGAACAAAGGGATTTGAAAACACCTCGTGGCTCTCAGAGGGGAGTTTAAATAATGGCGGGGTGTAATCTTGTCAAGAAAATTGAACACAAAACAACACTGCAGTTTAAAATAACATTTCTATCTAGTTTACTATGAAAAAAATGGGCTTTATCTTATTGATATCATCACTTAAAGTTAGGAACCCTTACGCATAAGCTATAAACCTATCTACGTATTATTTGACTTTATAGTCCACTATTGGTCAACTGCTGCCATTTCGACACGCTAGGTGGGAGTATTATGGTAACTTATCAGCGACTATTAAATGACCGTCGTCAATTTAACGTAATGCTGTTGTAACTCCACATCTCGTATTCCACCCGCAATATCTTGGTTGAAACTAGAACAGTTATGACCACTGATAAAGCTTACACCTTAATCAAGCCTTTCCTCAAAAGGACTTTTTTAAAACAGTTCTCAACTGTTTTCGACTAGCACTGTCTTCAGTTACTCAACCCTAAGTTGATTCGCTATGCCTTGTTTGTTTTCAATTACTTGATCCCTAATCAATTCGCTATGTCCCACAGATCTTAACAATAATCGTTAAATGGACTTATATATCCTTACGTCATAGGCTAATTTAACTACTGACGTAACCAGAGACACCTACATGAAAACACAACAAGACACCTACCCAAAGTACAATGGCCTCACACATTTATATTTTAAAATACTACACACACACAAATTAATAGCATGCAGGGTTAGATATAAGAAAAAAGAAATTGGAACTCACCCTGATTGTGAAAATGCAACGCCATGTGTTATGGAATTCTTATTGTTATAAATTTGGTTGTTTTAACATTAAATACACAGCTATTTTCAGGATCCGCTGGCCTCCGTCCAACACAAACCTATTTTGTACTGCATAAACTATGAAGAATTTGATTTAACAGGTTTCCTCTTACCAAGTATTCGAGCTCGTTGTGTCGAACGGAAGCCGCGTCTCCGGAAAACAGCTGGTTGTGTAGTCTCTTCTGTCCAACGAGAATCACGTCAGGGTCACCAATTGTTAACTGTGATGGTTATTCTCGCGTCCAGGAAAGAGAAGCTTAAAAAGGAGACTAAATGGAGTCTCTGAGATGTTTTCAAATTGGTACTTTAATTAATAAAAGGCGCGGTACAGTCACAAACAGGATATTGTCCGACAGAAAAGCAGCTGTCTCTGGCCCTCGCTAGCAGAGAAAAGAGGCCGAACCGCTCAGGTGCTGCTCTTATATAGCTTCTGTAGGCTCCTCCCTGCGGGCCGGCCCTCCACATCTTAATGTCCGTTGTTACGTTTAAACAGAGGATTTAGGCATTGTACATTCAATACATACTTAAACACGCCTCTTCTCCTCATATTGTCTTTCATCACTTTTCCTTTAACACATTCTAAACGTTGTAGTTAATATTCTAAAAAATACAGAAAATACTTCACGGCTGGTTTGGTTTCTGGTCATTCCGGAAGTTGTCACATCTTACCCAGGTCTGTAAACAATAACTTTATTCAAATAAACTATACCTTCATTTAATATTCAGCAATAATAATACATCTATAGTTGCAGTGTTAAAATCAGTAGGTTTCGGTGTGCATCACTCCATGTCATTTCGCTACTAAATTAACCTCTATAAGAAATGGTAAACTAGCCACATGCTAACCGGAGATGAAGGATTTTCAGAATAAAAGCTTAACTGGTTGTGCACAATAATTTTCTGGTTTTTCAGTATAAAACAGCATTTAAACTTAAGGTACATTTAAGGTACTTTATGCCATCAAAACATTGATTTTAATTTCTAACAGTACATACCCCCAAAGTTGTTTTCTTATTCAAAAGAAGACCTTAATTTAAAGTATTCTTTAATGTTTAAATAAAGCCTTATTAGTTTGTCTGTTTCGCACATCCTTAATATCTTTGGACGTCCTGCACTAGCTGTTTTATTGTAGAGATCACTACATTATCTTCTTGATATTTTCTATTCTATATTTCTATCATTGACCTTCTACTTTCCCCCTATTTTGTATGTAGGCTTCTCTTAATATTTTAATTTTTTCATCAAATATAACATTTTCAATAAGAAAATTCAATAATGTGCTTTAACCACTAGGCGATGCGGGTTAAAAAACTGTCAAGTTTACAGTGTTAACACAATAAATGATACTTTCCAGTATAATTTCCAGTTTAGTCTATGACGGATTCATTTTTTTATCCACATTTGTTTTGATATTTGCAACACCAAAACTGACAAAATATGGTCTTAACATGACCCAGTGGTCTAGTTAATAAAACATAATAATGTCAAACATAATATTACTATTAACTTTATTGTGAAATTAAAACAGAACGATAAAGAAAAATGCAGTTTCAGTCTCGATTTGAAGCTTATGCATTGTACCATGAACCTGTATAGACCTGTTACTGCATGAGGAGTTGGAAAGGTAGTTTCTGAAGATGTTACAAATAACACAGCATACAATGCCATAACTTTTTATTATTAGTGTAGGACACTTATGTATGTATAACATCTGAAGATGAATAATTCATGTTTTCACATAATTTTACAGGATATTGCTATATTATTTCACATATTGTAGTTCTACACATCAATATCTGATATGTATAACATCACAGACAGAAAGGGATATCCATCATTTAATGGTAAGCTATTGAAATTCTGATTCCATAGATGTGTCTCCCATCACCCAAAACCCCTGATTATTCTCTCAACTTAGTATTTACTTTCTTATATTCAAAGAAAATCAGTAATGTCTTTAAAAACTACAAGTCCTTGTATATCAGCTGTGCACTGTTATGGGATAAATAAAGCCTATCTACCAATTGGATCAAATATAAAAGTCAGCCAAATTAGTATTGATACTGCAAGGAGACGTATTGTGTGAAGAGAAATGAAGAAGTTTAATTGCTGATATATTTATGATCCACGTCACGTCTTCAGTTTCAGCGGCATTTCTTCCAGTTTGTCCAGAAGTCTTCTAATCAGGGCTCTATAAATAGAGAACTACGGCAGATGTGTAATATTTAATGCAGCCGAACCGTGTATTACAATGCTGTTATGTGATGACTTTCAAAGAGAAAAGCAAGCACACACGGATTAAAGTATTTTTTTTAAATGTTTTCGGATTTCACATCGCATAAACACCATATCCCAACGTGCATTGCGGCTAAAACATCCAATCACCGAGCTTCAACGATAGCTGAGGATTATGGGTAGTTCAATGTTTTAGTCTATCAAGACCTCTGAAAAAAGAAATATGTCCCTCAGAATCGAAAGGGAAAAACCTATGGGAAAAACACAAAAGCAGTGTACACAATTTAAACCAATGAATGTCGTGTAATTAACAAGGATAAACTGATGTTTTTTTGTGGATGAGTACGGCAGATATCACTGTGAAATCATTTGACAGTGAGGGGAATACGGTTTCATTATAAAAACTTCGAGACCGGAAACACTGTTTTCACCCCATGAGGGTTGACGCTAACTTCACATGGACGCTGCCGTTACACGTTCTCCTAACAAGACCTCATATAATCTTCATAATATCTATCAAACTATAGATCCTACACATCCACTGGACGTGAATTCTAAAAGTACAATATACACTTCTCGCTAGAAATGTAATCAAAAAGCATTTTAATGGCCAAAGCGTTCCCCCGCCGGGGGCAAATACAACAATATTGCACAAAACTGTGTCTCAGGGCTTCTTAACATTTAACAACCTATTAATGTGTCATACCCACTTAACGGGAAGAAACTCAGCTATCAGACAATATTAACAGTTTTTAGCTAAACAAAACACAAGGGTAATACCAAGCCTCTGAATTAGCACTTAGCACAGAACTCACAGTAGAGATATGTTATACTTAATGCTATATGCACAAACTAGATATCATATGAAAGCTGAGATTCCACAGTTTCCATTGGTGTAAGTTTCATCACTGTGCGACCAAAACTCACGGCAGCGAAGCCAGGAAAGACAACACACAACTTCACTTTACGGGGCCAAAACGGCAAATACGTCTTACCTTTGCTGTGTTCTGATAAAAAGTTGTGTTCAAGGCAGGGGCGGTTCTAGACCAATTTGAGTGGGGGGGCCACTGGGGGGTCAGTTATTTTCTGAGGGGGGCACAATAAATGCAGGACGAAAAAGAGAACTAGACAGTACGAAGTAATTGCGCATAAGAAAACAATGCAATACAGTTATTGGTATTTGTTTCAGTACACTTATTTATTTCAGACAGATCTTATACTGTTAGCTTCAGCATTTTATACATTTTTAAATCCACAGAAAAGGATTTAATGCAAAAGTTTACAAATCTTAAATGTTGACTTTAAATGAAATAAAATACAAGGATATAGATTGAAAACATAGATTTCAGATGTATTATTTCCCATAAGCACAGACAAGTAGGCTATTTAACAAACATGAAGACTGAACACACCTGTTCTGCACGCGCACTACTCAGTTTCGTCTATTCCGTCACATTTCTAATAAACATAAAACAGTGATATCTGGACAACACACAGATAGTTTCCTTCTCAAAACGTCCCATTACAGCAACATAATCCTGTGGTTTTTGACATTTTTGGCAAACCGATCAACAAATAAGTCAAGATTCAAAGCCTTTGACCTCCTTAACTCAATACTAAGCAGACCCAGATTGCTCAGTCTCTCATCAGTGATGGTGGATCTGAGAACAGTTTTGACCAGCTTCAATGTAGAAAAACTACGCTCACAGGAAGCAGAACTGACTGGGATTGCGACTGCTATTTTGCAGTCTGAAGAGCTCAAAAACACTTCTTTATAAGGTTCAATTAACTGAACAAGCTCCACTGAACTATCAGGTCTCTGCATCCCAGTCTTTATTTTCCTATCTAAAATTCTGCTGAACTGATGTAGCTCATGCCCCAAGTCCTCAATATTTGCATCATACAACTGAGCAAATGAAAACAGAGAAGTCTCCTTCAGAAATGCATCACTTTTGGGGTTAAGAGCTTGGATGCTATTCATCATGTCACAGTTTGTGTTTGAAAACCGTCTATTAAGCTCATTGAGCATCTGATCAATGACAGGGTAGAAAAAGGCAGTACGAAACCCGTGTTTATCTTGTTCTGTCTCTCTCTGTCCAACAGTAGTCAGTACGAAGCTTTCAGCAAGTTTAGAGCTCAGTCTTTTTTGTCGTTTTGCTGCTGGCTGTATTGCAGTATCACATTGCTCAGAAATGTTCAACACTTCATCCCACAAGTTATCAAAAAATGACTCCTGTCTGAAGTCATTCAATGTCTGAACTAAAGATTCAACTAAATCCACAGCCTTTGAAATGTCAAGGGATGAAGACTGTAACATGTCAGAGAGAAATGTTGTTTCTGCAAACACTTTACGGAGTGTTACAAGATGCACAATGAATTCTAGATCCAACTGTGCCAGCAGACCACGTACCTCAATAGATCTCTCACCATTGCGTTCTTGGGCTATGTCTTGCAGTACTCGCTTGAGGGCCGGTAATCTATCCATTATGTTACGGAGAGATATAAATCTGCATGCCCATCTAGTGTCACTCAATCGCTGGAGTTCTCTTGGGGCACCTTCGTACATCTCTCTTTGGATATCTAGCCATTTGGGGTGGACATACGACCCAGATGTGAAGAAGTATAGCTTTTCTAGTAAGGAGAAGAACTGCTCTGCTTCTGGGACAGCTTTGACTGTATCTACTAAAACTAGATTTAGACAGTGAGCATTGCAATGAACATAAAAAGCATATTTAGCTTGCTCTCTGATTCTAGCCTGGACCCCTGAGTGCTTACCGCTCATGACAGCAGCACCATCATATGCTTGGCCTACAAGGTTGTTTTTGTATTCCAGACCGTTACTTTCCAATATGTGAATTATTTTTTCAGTAAGCCCTGCTGCATCTAGCCTCTCTGCTGACTCAAAATGGAGAAAACTCTCCTGGATAGCACCATTAAAGTAGTACCTGACTACAAGAGAAATCTGTTCTTTTTTTTTAACATCTTTTGTTTCATCTGCCATGATGCTAAAGACTTCACTGTTTTTCACTTCCTCTGTTATTTCAGATCGAACCATGTCTGCAAGACAACCCAGAACTTCATTCTGAATGGTTTTGCTTGTGTACTTTGCATTATGAATGGAAGTCAACCTTTTTTTAACAGCTTTGTCATGGTTAGCAATTGTCTCTAGAATGGTCATGAAGTTCCCTTTATTATCTGAGTCTGCAGACTCATTGTGTCCTCTTTGAGCAATGTTTTGTGTCGCAGTAAGTAGCAGCACTTCGGCTATGGTTTTTATATATTCCCGATTTTCTTGAACCACTTTATTATGTTCTTTGTTAAGTACATTTGCCAATGTTTCATTGGATGTCACAGCTCTCTGGTAGTCTTTCCATGCAATCATTGCGTGCGTGTGCCGCTCAGATTTGGCATGGATTGCAAATCCCCCCTCTTTGTATGTTGCCTTCTTCCAGTTTTTGAAACCTGAAGGTGAATCAAATACAGTGTCTGTGCTATTCGGAGGGCTAAAATGTCTGCAGGCGTAACAATGAGCAGAGTCTGACATTTTGGAGTACTCAAGCCAGGGGTGAATCTTGTACCAGTCAGCCTTGAAACTCCTTCTCCGGTCGCCCATCCAGGTCCTTGGAAACAATTTAGGGTGTGGTTGCATTGGTGGCTCCTCTTTGCACTTGCTGATATCTGTGGAGAAAGATAACGCAAATAAATATGTTTATTATTATTATTATAATTGAAACAGATCATTATAAATGCACATTTACCAGAGCAATGAACAACCACAAATTAGATATCTATATTAATTTATGACACGAAGCTGCTTTCTCCCTGTTATATTTGGTTAAGCCAGACAACAGGCTTTGGGATAAGATAAGGGCTTATTAAATATAAAAATATTAATAAATAAATATAAATAAGCTATGAAGAAACAGAAAAATAATTGTAATAATGTGCATATATATTTATATATGTATCTATTTATTACACTTTGTTTTTGTTTTATAATAAAAAAGAGGGAACAAATAAGTATATCTATATTATGAAGTAAATCATGTATAAATACAACTCCATATGAATACATAAAATGTAACTGACACTGTAATCCCCCTGCCCGCCACCCTTCATGTTATTGTCCTGTCCTATTTGTGATGTGTGTGCGCCATGTATGTTTTTGTCTTTGAAAATGTTTAATAAAATATAAATGTTAAAAAAAATGAATTAGTATCACACACACTCATTTGATCTGTAACTAAGATTAAAGCAGGCACATTTGTTTTTCAAAATCACAAACCTGATGTTCCAGTACTTGTGGATCTATCCTCTATCTCACTCGATTTCATCCTCAGCCTCACTCTGTGACTCCCCATCTTTCTCTGCCTGCTCTGAACCTTCAATTTCCAGATCAGTCTCTCCTGAAAAGTCCTCCGGCTCTGTCTCTGTGGCAATCTGCACTTCCTGCTGTGTGTTACTGTCTGCCTCATCATTTTTTTTTTGGGGGGGGCGAAAAAGGACATAATGTCCTTTTTTCGCTTCATTTTGAAACTATAGAGCAAACACAAAGGGGGAGGACAACAATTCAGCAACGCATAATATAAATGTATAACCGCTAGATATATTTCACAACTATATAGCTAGGGTGATCAGGTGTCCCGCTTAAAATAGAACGAAATGGCGGGATGGTGGTGTAAAATGAAGCCTGGGACAAAGAAAATGCAGCAACAACAAAGCCTGGGAAGGTACTTATTATTGGGTAAAACCGGTGGATGGAGATTCCACCCAGAGCGTGTTCTGGCTCGGTTCGCTGACGGCCGGCACCCCCCTTTATTATTTATTTATTTTAAACGGCATAATTTAAGGCGCTGACATGTCATGTGACAGATGATGAAAGCAAACTGTTTGCTGTCGCTGATTACTTTGCACACTACGTTAACTAACGTTAGTCAACAACAACACTTACTGACCTAAAGTCTTATCTTGTAACAATTACACGGATATAATAGTTTAACTCACCTTCAATTATCGTGGTGGTGGTCTCTGGAAACGTAGGTTTCAATCAGTCTTTCACTCTTTCTTGGATGCACAACAGCCTCTGATGATCCGAGATGAAAAGTGTTTATTTTTCGCGCGCTTCAGCCGCACAGTGAAAGCGAGTGCACCGCTCTAATGGGTCCTGAGTGCACCGCTCTAATGGGTCCGACTAGAATGACGAATAACGTTAGTTCCGCCTATTCCGCAATTCAATAAATCGTGTAATAAATCATTATTATTATTATTTTATTTTTTGTTTCACTTTTCATTGTTAGGGGGGCCACGGGGGGGGGGCAGTGGTTCTAGGGGGGGTCAGGGGGGGGGGGCAGTGCCCCCTAACACTGACCCCCCCCTGACCCCCCCTAGAACCGCCCCTGGTTCAAGTGCATTAAAACGCATATAAATGCTGCTGAAGGTTAATCCAATGTCTCTGTGTCACTTTGAAATTATTACTGATAATCCATCATAACATTTATGGCAATAAACGTTGTTTTCATATAGAGTGTAACTGTCACAATCTTATGAAGGACCCAAATGCAGCACTCGAGAAACCAAGGAGTATTGGTAATGTACTTTATTGGTAATAATACCAGTGCAGAGGGATACCAGCAGAACAGTAACAACCGGATGATATGCAGGAAAACGAACCAGAGGACAGCAGGCAGAAGGTGAGCAGGTGAGGCAAAATCGAGCAATAGGTTCCAGAGATATGGCAAATACACCCACATGACCCCAGAGGTGGGTTTTTTTTCTTCGAAATCTCTCTAAAAAGGTCAACTTTCACTTGTTTTGCATCAATCTTGATACAGGGTACTTATTATTTGTTATAGTTTGGTTCCTAAAGGTTTGTGTCTACTATCCCATCATTCAAGGGTGGTTTTCGCTATAAGTAATGGGGTTTTTTTGGACGGAAACTATAATTTAAATTGTTTTACTATGTTCAATCTGAATTGACTTAAATAAAAACATCTATATTGGTTCTGACTGTTCTACATCCAACTCACAGGTGTATCATTGCTTTGAGATAAAATATTATTAATTTACCCCTTTTAGAAGTGAAGATATAGTCATTTGTTCTGGGCATGTCATTTCCGAGCCTGATACAAAAACAGGCTCAGTGCTTAACAGGTTAAGAGGCATGCTACAATGGGTGATCTGTTTGGTATTTTGAGCAAAATACTTCAGAGACATGTTCCGTATAGATATAGCCCTATAATAGGGCATCTAGTGTGCATCTAGACCGGGTGACGACACTATTGACGCAGCAACCACTGTAAGTTATATTCTTGTTTAATTAGACTTCTCTGTTTCATTTATTCTACTCTGTATAATTGTTCTGTAGTTATTGTAGCTAAAACGGCGCTTTTGAGAGATTTTAAATCTCAGATCTGCTCAAGTGAACCTGTTACACAGGTCGCAGTGGGGCACTCAAGCCTGCATTACAATATAGGCAGGGCCACTCTGCTGATTGCGTGAAGTATAACAGCGTGAATTAGTCATCTTCCAGCTAAAAAGCACTCAAATACCGCATTTAAAATCTGAAGAACTCAGTGTGCATCTAGACCGGGTGACGACACTATTGACGCAGCAACCACTGTAAGTTATATACTTGTTTAATTAGACTTCTCTGTTTAATGTATTCTACTCTGTATAATTGTTCTGTAGTTATTGTAGCTAAAATGGCGCTTTTGAGAGATTTTAAATCTCAGATCTGCTCAAGTGAACCTGTTACACAGGTCGCAGTGGGGCACTCAAGCCTGCATTACAATATAGGCAGGGCCACTCTGCTGCCTGTCGCCCATCAGCTGTAGAGAGTTAACTAATTAGAGGGGCGTGGCCCCACAGCTGTGAGAACTCAGCAATCAGGCGTCCATTTTAGGTAGCTCTCTCCTGGAGCGTCAGCGTCAGACAGCCGAAGACATTGGAGTCCTGCGGGAGTAAGACTGACAAAGACATTGGAGTCCTGCGGGAGTAAGACTGACAAAGACATTGGAGTCCTGCGGGAGTCACGAGGGTGGCAAAGAGGAGGCAACTCCTACTCCGATTGAGCTAATTACCGCTGGTGTCTTATTTTCTTTTCTTTAGTTTTCTAGCCCCTCATGCTATAATCATGTGTATTTTCTCCATTCCTGTTCATGTGTCTTCTCGCAATTATCACTGGCCCTGTGTATCTCCTAATCGCTATAACCGGCCTGCTCTCGTCTATCCTACATGCTCCACTGAAATCCAACATCTAGTTTCAGGTGGCCTGTGGAACTGCCAGTCAGCTGTTCCTAAGGCTGACTTCATCTCTGGCTACGCCTCCCTGCAGACCCTGGATTTCCTTGCTCTCACTGAGACCTGGATTACTCCATTCAACACATCCACCCGAGCAGCTCTCTCCACAGCATATTCCTTCTCCCATACACCCAGACCCACTGGCAGAGGAGGTGGCACTGTCTCCTGCTCTCTCCCAAATGGAGCTTTTCCCTCTTCAAGCTACCTAACTTCACTCCTTCCACCTATACAATTAACCATTGTTGTTCTCTACCGTCCACCAGGCGCCTTGGGGGACTTCTTGGAGGAATTAGATAATCTCCTCTCACACATCCCTGAAACTGGCCCTCCCGCTGTACTTTTCGGAGACTTCAACCTCCAGACAGGGAAGATAGACAAACTAACATCTCTGTTAACCGCCTTTGCTTTCTCACTGTCTCCATCCCCACCAACTCATAAAGCTGGCAATGTCCTTGATCTCATATTCTCAAGGAACTGCACTACTTCTAACCTCTCTGTAAACCCGCTCCACACATCCGATCACTTCTTCATTTCATTCTCTCTACACCTTTCCAAATATAACAAACTAATCTCTTCTCATCCTGCACCTGTCCGCCGTAACCTTCGTTCCCTCTCCCCCTCTACCTTTGCCTCATCGGTGCTCTCAGCCCTCCCTTCCTCTGACTCGTTCCAACTCCTGCCTCCAAACTCTGCTGCAGAAACTCTCCTCTCTACTCTCTCTGGACTCTCTCTGTCCTCTCACATCTCGGCAGGCTCGTCAGTCCCCTCCTGCTCCCTGGCTAAATGACGCACTGCGTGCTAATAGAACCGTCCTTAGGGCAGCAGAGCGGAAACGGTGGAAATCCAAACACCGTGACGACCTCCTAACCTATCAGGCTCTCCTCTCCTCTTTCTCTGCTTCGATCTCTCAGGCTTTCTTTCAAGATAAGATCCAATCTTCCTATTTGTGATGCCCCTGTGGGTTCATCAGTGGAGAGGGTGTGGCTGTCCTGTCTTGGCTGCATTGATCGCACTGATTGCAGTAACTCAGGGCACCTGGGTCTGATGCTCTGCAGCTATTTTAAAGCCTTTCTGCTCCTGTCTTTTTTCTCTCTCTGCTTTTTCCTGCAGGCACCCGGCTCTGATGAGTATAAACCATGAGTTGACTTGAACAGTGTTGTGCAAATAAACACCTTTACCTACCCGTCGACATGTTGTGTCTCCTTTTTGTTGTGGCCTTTTGAGCCAGGTCACAACACTATTCCAATCCCAAAAAACTATTTTCCATCTTCTCCACCCTCTTGGACCCTCCCAAAGCCCCTCCCCCCTCCTCACTTCTGTCAAGCGACTTTGTTAACCACTTTGAAAAAAAGGTTGATGATATTCGCTCTTCTTTTTCTGACTCACCTTTACTCACCGCTGGGTCACCAGACCCTCCTTCCACCCACACACTAACCTCCTTTTCCCCTCTCTCTCCAAGTGAGGTTCTTACCCTCATTACCTCTGCCCGCCCTACCACCTGTCCTCTGAACCCTATCCCTTCAAACCTCCTTCAGACTATCGCTCCTGATATTCTACCGTTTCTCTTCCATTTCATCAACACTTCTCTAACTTTTGGTCACTTTCCAAACAGTCTCAAGGAGGCAAGAGTAAACCCTATCCTAAAGAAACCTACTCTCAACCCGTCTGATGTTATAAACTACAGGCCTGTCTCTCTCCTCCCGTTCCTGTCTAAATCACTTGAACGCGCTGTCTTTAAACAACTCTCCTGTTATCTCCATCAGAACAACCTTCTGGATCCGCACCAGTCTGGTTTCAAGGCAGGTCACTCCACAGAAACTGCTCTCATTGCTGTCACTGAGGAACTGCACACTGCCAAAGCAGCATCCCTCTCCTCTGTCCTCATCCTGTTGGACCTGTCTGCTGCATTCGACACGGTGAACCATCAGATCCTCCTTCACACTCTCCAAGAACTTGGAGTTTCAGGCTCTGCACTTTCCCTCCTCACCTCATACCTCAAAGACCGTACCTACAGGGTAACTTGGAGAGGGTCCGAGTCCGACCCTTGTCAATTAACTACAGGGGTCCCTCAGGGCTCTGTTCTTGGTCCCCTCCTCTTCTCCCTGTACACAAACTCGCTCGGATCAGTCATTAGCCCGCATGGTTTTTCATACCACTGCTACGCTGATGACACCCAATTAATTCTGTCCTTTCCCCGCTCAGAGACCCAGGTCGTCGCACACATCTCTGCTTGTCTAGCTGACATCTCTCAGTGGATGTCTGCTCATCACCTCAAGCTCAACCTTGACAAGACTGAACTGCTTTTCCTTCCGGGAAAAGATTGTCCCACTCTTGACCTGACAATCAACATCGGCACCTCTGTTGTTTCCCCGACTCAGACTGCAAGGAATCTGGGTGTGATCCTAGATCATGGATCTGGCCCTTCCTACATCCAGGATATGGTTAAACTGTACACCCCAGCGCATGCACTACGCTCTGCATCAGCATAACGACTCGCTGCGCCCACGCTGCGAGGGGGGCCCAAGTTCCCATCAGCAAAAACACGTGGGTTTGCTATCCTGGCTCCAAAATGGTGGAATGAGCTCCCCATTGACATCAGGACAGCAGAAAGCCTGCACATCTTCCGGCGCAGACTGAAAACTCATCTCTTTCGACTCCACCTCGAGCGATATAATTACTAACAAATAACTGCTAACAGAGCACTTATATACTAATAAAGGACTGGCTTATCTATAGCCAGTTGAGTAGCACTTGAAATGTTTGGCTCTATGAAACCTGATGTACTTATATGATTCTGTTTTCTTCAAGGTTGTGTCTTCCTGGTCGAATGTACTTATTGTAAGTCGCTTTGGATAAAAGCGTCAGCTAAATGTAATGTAATAATATATTGTTCAAATATAGCATGATATAGGTGAGCTTTAACAGGGAATCAAA